AACTTGATGTACAGCATCAACATCGGAGGTTCCTACAAAAAATGTATATTTTGTATGCATATATCTATAGATACAGGCTTCGAATTTGGAATGTGCAACGGAACTTACAAATGAAATATCATTGCCAAACTATATATTGAAATCGGTTCGGATTGGGATATAGCTCACATACATACACTGGTGGCCAAAACTTAAGCAACTGAAATTACAAGGAGAATGAATGCCCTGTAACTCTTTTTAAAATTAAGAAAATGAGAAAGTTTTTCTTGTCTTAAATTAGGTACTTTATTCACTTTTTAAAAACCTAAAACAAAAAACCAAAATTCATTTTTATATAAAAAATAATGTATGGTAAAGTCAATTAACCCGATTTTGGCGTGGACAAAACAAAAGCATCTATGTTGTATATTCATATAACCGCTGCAATTTCAGTTGTTTTTACTGTGATATTTATCGCTTTTTGCTTCTTTCGACAATTTCGCTTCTTATAAATCCATTTTGAGAAGTTTTTTACAACATCATGTGTTTTTCTTTTCGTTTTTTAAGTACTGCACAAAAAAATTAAAAATGGCTAAAAGCAAATATTGTACCTGAATAAAACAGCAAATTATCAGTGACTATCAAAACAACATATCACAGAAAATGATTTCCTAGAAATATTTCATAAATATTTATGTGATTATACCCTACAACACTATGTGTTGGGGGTATTATAAGTTTGATTGGGCCAAAAATTATGTAACACCACGAAATATTGGTTTCCCACATAGGAAAGTATATATGGATCATCCTAGCTCGCCGAGCTGAGTCGATCTAGCTATGTATGTCCGTCCGTCCGTCTGTCCGTCTGTCCGTCTGTCCATGTTAATTTGTAATCACTCTACAGGTCGCAATTATGGCCCGATCTTCACGAAATTTGGAATGGAGGTCGGGGTCGGGCCAGAATAGAACCCTATTTCTTTTTGAGATGATCGCCAAATGTTTAGGGGTTGAAATGGACCAAATACTGAAAAAATGTCGGATTTTGCAGTAGCTATACAGGTCGCAATTATAGACCAATCGACGCGGAATTTAGCATGTAGCTAGAGTTTAGGGCGGGGAAGAAGCCTACCAATTTGGGTGGTCACCGGATAATATTTAGCGGGTAAAATAGACCATATCTTTTGTGTTGAAAAAATTCAATATTTTTCATTAAACCGCCAATATTTTAAATCCCGGCGAAATCACAAAACCATGACAAGGTACTTCTGACCTTTACATTGATGTTAACATCCAACAAATCGGATATATAGCAAAATATGTGCGATATATATGTCTATCAAAGAAGAAATGCTTGAAAGATATCTTATTTGTCGAGAACGGCTGAACTGATTTCGACAGTTCTCATTAATTCAGAATGGCCTCTTGGCAGGAAAGAAAATACGTCTAAAAAAATCGCATAAAAATATCTCTCTAAAGATGAAAATATTGATTTTGTAATATTTTCTCATATTTTTTTCAATTTTGTCATTTTTTTGGCATATTTTCATTTTGAATTAAACATTTGGTAATATTTCTACAGCTAACAAAACTAAGTAGTTAGGATATCAGGATATAATATACAGATCGCATTTATGGCCCGATCCTTATGAAATTTTGCATGGGGATAAGATAAGGGTCAGAATAGAAGCCTACTCTTTTTGGAGATGATCGACATATATTTAGGGCTTGAAATGGAACAAAAAACTGCAAAATTGTCGGCAGGTCGTAATTATCCTCACGCACATTTGAAAGGGGTTACCGGACACTGCAAAAGCCAAGCAGTTTTGGATGGCCATCCAAATATATTCAATGTGTGAAATAGTTTGCCAACTTTTGTAGACAAAATACGAAAATGTTCATTCCAGAGACTTTTTCGAGAATTCACAAATACAGGAAAGACGCACTTCTGACTATTTCGTTAACGCAGATTTCGTTGAAGAATATAGTCAAATGCCTGTATCTCATATAGATGCGTTTCAGTCAAAAACCAATAATTAATGTTAATCTTTTGCCACTTCTGAGAGATTATAGGTCTTTGGGAAATATTGATTCCAGATCTAGGAAGACAATTTATAAATTGGAAATGAGCAAATTAGTTCAAGTTGCTATTATTCGAAAATTAGAGAACGAAACCTGATGGTTTTCTTTTATTATTTGTCATAATATCTTGCGGAATTCTTTCAAGTATCTCGCCTATATAAACTGTATCGTTTATTATAGTGTTGTAGGGTATTCAACGGTCGGCCCCGCTCGACTGTAGCCTTTGCTTACTTGTTTCATAATTATTTCTGTATACTAAGTCGGTTTTTTGAAACTGGATCAGTAGTAACAGTCTATAACGGATGAAGGCCGTGAAAAACTTCAGCCCGTACTGATCCACAAATTGTGAGAGAAATAAAAAACAACCATTAAAGAGTTCAACAGGATTGGTGAGAGAGCAATCATTGGATATAAACTCGAGATCAGTGCGTAGACGAGTAGTGGCAGCTGGTCTGCATGCCCGTAAGACATCAAAAAACCATTTTTATCTGAAAAAATCAAAAAGGCTTTCGGAAACGATAATATTAAGTGGAATCCAGCTCAATGGAAAAAACATTATTTCTGGGATGAGTCTACGTTTAATATTAAAGGCTCAGACGTGAAAAATTTTACGGTGAGAAGACCAAAAAATGAAGGACTCATGCCGCAGTGTTGCAAAGGTACAGTGAAGCATGAGTGAGGGTCAAAAATGGCGTGGTGCTGTTTTTCTTTCTATGGACTTGGGACTATTCATGAAATAAAGGAAGTTATGGATCGGTTTGTTTACGAAGATGTGTTGGACATCACGGTGTTCCCTTACACTGAGTCAAATATTCGGCTCATTTGGGTGTTTCTGCATGACAATGATCCCAAACTTGCATCAAAACTTTTCTAATATTGGTTGCGGGAGTCAAAAATTGATGTTTTGTCATGGCCGGCACAATCACCTGGCCTAAACTCCATAGAAAACCTTTGGAGTATCGTAGATAGGAAGATCAAGCGAGATTCGGAAATAAATAAACACAACATTTTCTAAAGAATTCGGGGTGCCTGGGAAAGCATACCCAAGGATGAAATTGAGCGTGTTATAGATTCAATGCCTCGTAGGTGTGCAGCTGCTATCAAAAATAATGGTTATGCTATCGACTACTAGCCAAAATTTAATTATTTTAAAATAAAAAATCAAAAGTTGCTTTAGTTTTGACCAAGCAAAAATTGGGTCATTTTAGTTTTCCACATATTATTTTTCGTTCAAAATTATTTTTGTATTTTTATTTTTAGTTTCTTAAAAGTGAATTAAACCCCTCATTTAAAACTGGAAAAATAATTACGATTTGTTTATTTTTGTAAAAGTTACAGGATATTTATTGTCTTTGCGATTTAAGTTGCTTTAGTTTTGGCCACCAGTGTATTTCGCTATATATGGAACTTGGTACAGAAATTAATTTGCCAAATAATATTGAAATCGGTTGTGATTTTGATATTATTTTATTAAGAAAAATAGACCCACCACTTTCTGTCTAAAATCTTGCACCGACCCGTCTTTTGTCTGCAGGCAGATCCAGTTCGAAGATGAGCTATGTCGGTCCTCGATATCGTATATCCTCCATATAACGATAACCCCGATATTCGGTAGTTTGATGATTGTACCCTCAATTTTTTAATGGAATTGTCTGAAATTCTACGCAAGGAGCTCTCCGTGACTACTTTACCCCTGAAAAAGACTTGTCTATATAGGTCCACGATATTCGGTAGTTTGTTGACTTTAGCAATATTTTTCAATGGAATTGTCCTAAAATCCACAAAAGAAGTTCTTTGTGGGTACATTACCCCCTGGAAAAGAATTGTCTGTATGGGTCCACGATATTGCATATCCTCTATATAACTGTACCTCCCGATATTCGGTTTTTTGTAATTGTAGCCAAATATTTAAATGGATTTGTCTGAAAATCCACGCAAGAAGTTCCCTCTGAGAACTTTACCACCTGGAAGAGAATTGTATATACAGGTTCACGTTTTAGCATAGTACCCATATAACCCATATATTCGGTATTTCCATGATTGTAGGACAATTATTCACCGGAATTGTTTCTAATGTCGTATTTGAAGTTGTGAGTTGTCGTTTTGTGGGGGCCCCATATAACGGTACCCCCGCTATTCGGTATTTTGATCGTTTTAGCACATTATTTACTGGAATTGTTTCATATTTCGTATTTGAAGTTCGTAATGGCTACCACAACCTACGACGGAAAATTGTCTATGCAGGTCCACATCTTATTATAGCCCCCATACACAGTACCTCCATTTATTAAGTGTGTATATGATATTAACGGTATTATTTACCGGAATTGTTACAAATTTCGTATTTTCGGAATCGTTACTACAGCCTATAATAAAATATTACTTATGCAGAACCACGTCTTTGTAGAGTCCCCATATACTTTTTTTCACTTGAGCGGCATTTTTCTACAGATTTTTTTTATCTATTTTTTTTTTTTTTTTGGAAAATTTTCAATATCTTTCCGAATGTTGGAGGGTATTGTTATATTCTTAATATGTTTTATTATTTTTTTTTTTTTTTTATAAAAACAACAAAATATTCGTTTATAATAATTTGTTTATTCGTTTATATAAAGGGGAAGCGAAGCGCGCCAAGTTCAGCTAGTACCATATACAATGAAAAAATGGGCTGACTTGGCTGAGGATATTCAAAAATGTATAAATTGTTTGTCCGGACATCGTGTCCTTTAAATTAAATTCAAATTCCACAAAATTTATCACACAGTCTTGGCCATTAGAAAAATCAAGCTCCTTGCTCATTATTTTCCCAATGTCCTTGTCACTTCCAACTTCACCCTTTTCGACAAATATTCAAAAATATTGGTCTTCATTTTGAAAATTTGTTCAAATTTTAAATTTTTCTTATAATATTTAAAGTATTTTTAGCCAATATTAATTACCACATGAAATTTCATTTTATTTTTGTTTCTTTTTTTCAATTCACAGCACTTGAACACTTGGTAATCCTTTTGGGCTGCACAATGAAAATGCTGTGGCGCTGTCGCTGTGGTAGTGAGGCGATGCCGTTACACGCTTGTAAATTTCCGAAGCTTAATATCCGAACTAAGTTTACGGTGTGATTAACAACTTGAGTTGTGTGCAGTGACTAAAGTTTTTCAAATATTTCAACAAAGTTTTATTCACAAAAAGTGATGGCGGTGGCTGTAATGCTGTGGAAGGCGATGATGATGATGATGTTGTTGCTGATGACGTTGGCGATTACGACGATGTTGTTGTTGTCGGCAATGATGCCAGTTCGTCTCCCGAAATTTTGTAGACTGTGATTTTTTGCCTTAAAAGAAAACAATTTAAATAAAATTGATTGTCTTAGAGTGCCGAAATGTTGTTATTTTTTTATTTAACATTTTGATATGTGTGTGTTTTTGGTTGCTTTTGTTTTGGCATTTGTTGTTGCTGCTTTTTTGTACTCATCATACTCTTTCCTAAGTTCATCTTGTGTTCATTTCATGCAAGGCATACCACCAAGCTTGCCGTCTGATGCCACCACCTCCAGCAGCATCGTATTATCTCTTCAGCGTTTTTTTTTTTTATTCATAACGTCTATACTAACTCCAGTGTATCATCATCGTCATTGATGGTGATGAAAGAGCAGCTAGATTTGTTTGAAAAAGACATCCAGCGCTTTTTTTTTGGTATTTGGCTTGAAAACAAAAATTGGAAAATAGGTTGGGCTTTAAATCGCTGCTGCCACCATGTTGGCTGTGGCGTATTCAACGCTGACATCGTTGATACTACGAGTATCAGCCAGTTCATTCAAACCTACCACAGAACTATCAGTCATATTGCCTACCATCGATGTCAGAAGACAGTGGGGTTTTTCAAAACAAAATTCTGAATTGAAAAATTTCTTCTATCATAAACAAATTTAGATATCATGGATTATTTGCCCATTCATCATACAAAAATTATGATAATATATATTGGATAGTTTGAGTACCAATATTTTATGACGAATCAATCAATATTGGGTCTATTAATTTTTTATACCCTACTCCACATAGTTACTTTTGAGGATCTTCATAGAATCACATTCTGAGTCGATTTGTGCATGTCCGTCCGTCCGACTGTGCGACTATTATTATGAACAAAATGCAGATCGCATTTATCATCCGATTGAGATGAAATCTTCCAAACAATATTTGTTTGACCCAAGGACGAACCCTATTGAAATTGGTGAGAATCGATTCAAAATTAGATATAGCTCCCATACATATCTTCAACCGATTTCGGATTAATTGTGCACCAAATAGCCAATATCCGTCCAAATGACCTGATTTTCGGTACATCAGACCGAATTCAGTCTAATAGCAAGTACGTGAAATTTGGCGAAAATTGGCACAGACATAGCTATAGCTCCCATATATGTGTTTCATTCGATTTTATGTTTAAGTTCCTTAAATTCGTAATATGTCCCCCAAAAGGATGATATTTGGTACCAGATATCAGAATTTCTCTGTCAAATTTTATCGAGATCGTATCAGATTGGAATGTATATCTTAATCCGATATCAGGTTTATGGTGCACCAAATGACTAATATCAGCCCAAATAAACTGAATCAAATTGCGATTGAATCCATCCTAGAAACAAGATTATCGAATTTGGTGAAAATCGGTTCAGACATAGCTATAGCTGCCATATATAGGTTTTATCCGATTTGCTGTTTAAGTTCCCCACAAAAATAATACGCACTCCGCAACACTGGTCTGTGGTACATGATATCAGACACAGCTCTGAAAGTAGTGTTTCAAATTTTGTCAAAATCGGTTCAGATTTGGATAAAGCTTCCATATACACCTTTTTCCGATTTCAGGTTTACTGTACACCAAATGGTTAGTATCAGCTCAAATTTACTGAATTTTGGCACTTCCGACGGAATTCAGTCTAGAAGCAAGTACTCCAAATATTGGGTGAAAATCTGTTCAGATATATCTATAGTTCTCCTACAGCAATGCTAACATCAGGTACAGCTCGATAATGTCTCTGCCAAAGTTTATTGAAATTAGTTCAGATTTTTAAATACCTTCGATATACATCTTCATCCGATTTTACGGCTAATGTTCACCATACATATATAATATCTGCCCAAACTGTATAGAGTTCCTCATATTCAACCAAATTTTACCATTTGTTGAAACTCAGTCCGCTATATAACTTGCTACCACAAATATTTTTAAAATAATCCTTATCGAAGTCCTATCATGCACGGCAATGTTATTTGGTACTAGAGGTACAAAAACCCCTGTCAAATTTATTGAAAATCGATTCAAATTTGGATATAGTTCCCAAATTGTGAAGCCATGATACGCATTCACATAAGGTTCATAGTTGGCATGATCTACTCCAAATAAATTCCCAATATAAACTTTTTTGTTACATGAGCTCTACGAAATACGCATAGTGGTGTAGGTATTAAAAAGTCAGCCCCGCCCAACTTTAGACCTTTCCTTAATGGTTTCAAGATTTATTAATACCTGCGGATAGAAATGGCGAATACCTTATTTTGTCTGTTTCAAAGAATTGTTATAGTTTTCTGCAGTTTAAAATTTAGAAACGTTTTAAATTTAAATTTGACAAATGAAAGTAATTATCACCATCGTCTTTAGTGTTGTTCTTCCAAGTAGATCAGAAAACGTATATATAAGTCCAGCTGATCTCTGTTTGCATTTTTTGTATCAATTCGAAATGTAAACTCAGATCTCATAAATGTTTTCCTTTCCTATATTGAACACTGTACCTCTACCAACCTTTGCCCTGTTCAGCGAATCAAGCAGCATCAAATGGCTCATCACCAATGGCTATAAAAATGATCGATGAGTTTCTTTGTTGTTGTTGTTGTACACATTCTTAGTCAATCAAATACCACACAAAACAATGGAACTGCTCAACGTTAGAACCTTAAATGTGGGGTGTGTATGCTAACATAAAATTAAATATCTTCAATTAACGTTTTGAATAATTTGTCTAAATTCCAAAAACAAACCTGACTCCATAGAAATGGCAGGTATAATTTGTACATGTGCTAAACATAAATTTAATGAAAACATTTTATACATTTTATAAAAACAAGTACATATGGCATAATGCTAAACGTTTCCGAACTTTTAATACCCTTCAAGAGGAACTTTTGAATTACATTGCCATTAGCTATAAGTCATGTAAAGTTAAATTTTTTCTGTTACTACTGTGGCTTCCTTTTATTGTTCAGGTCTTTAAATACCAAAAATCTGGAGAAAAATTGAGTGACATTTTTTAACAAAAAATACGAACATTTTACGTTGTAGAACAATCCGTTAGAAAATGTTAATTAAATCATCAAAATATCGAAAATCGCACCGTATAGGCAAAATACGACCTCTTAATGTTGAGTTATCAGGTTTCTAACTAATAATAATAATAATAATAATAATAATAATAATAATAATAATAATAATAATAATAATAATAATAATAATAATAATAATAATATAATAATAATAATAATATAATAATAATAATAATAATAATAATAATAATAATATAATAATATATAATAATAATAATAATAATAATAATAATATAATTATTATTATTATTATAATAATTAATTATTATTATTATTATTATTTTTAATGTTATTATTATTATTATTATTATTATTATTATTATTATTATTATTATTATTATTATTATTATTATTATTATTATTATTGTTATTATTATTATTATTATTATTATTATTATTATTATTATTGTTATTATTATTATTATTATTATTATTATTATTATTATTATTATTATTATTATTATTATTATTATTATTATTATTATTATTATTATTATTATTGTAATTATTATTATTATTATTATTATTATTATTATTTTAATGTTATTATTATTATTATTATTATTATTATTGTATTATTATTATTATTATTATTATTATTATTATTATTATTATTATTATTATTATTATTATTATTATTATTATTATTATTATTATTATTATTATTATTATTATTATTATTATTTTATTATTATTATTATATTAATAACGAACGAAATAAAGTAGGTTGAAACAATTGTACTAAAATATGGTTTAGGTTTAGGAATTTTGGTATCGAACATATATATAGGTCCATATTTTGGTATAAATTAAAGTCAGACTTATGGTCTATTCGTTATTTTAGTAACAATTTTCCCAGGATGTTAGAAATATTCTTGGATAGAATTGTCTATATACAGGGTGAGATAAAAAAAACTGCAACAAAGTCAAACGCCATAATATTTAATTTTTTTAATTTTATTGAATGAAGCAAAAATTTTCGGAAATCGCATCAAATTTTAGAATAAGTTTAGATTTGTTCGAATTAGTCACCTTTGGCGCGAATTATGGCCTTCAAACGGCAAATGAAACCGTCACACGCTGCCCGAATGTTGCTCTGCGGTATTTGGCCAATTGCCGGCGAAGCGCTTGCTTCAGGTGATCGACACTTTGGTATTTTTATACCCTCCACCATGCATATTATATTAACTTTGTCATTTGTAACTCCTCGAAATACTCATTTCAGATCCAACAAAGTATATATATTCTTGATCAGCGTAAAATTTTAAGTCGATTTAGCCATGTCCGTCTGTCTGTTGTAATCACGCAATCTTTCGAACCAATTGAGATAGAAGGCTAAAATTTTGCACACGTGTTTATTTTTCCAGTAGGCAGGCGTAAATGGGCCATGTAGGTTCACGTCTTCGTATAGCCCTCATATAACGGTACCTCCGAAAATTCGGTATTTTGATGATTTTAGCGTCATTATTAACCGGAATTGTTTCAAATTACGTATTTAGAGTTCGTAATGGGAACTACAGTCTGTGACAGATAATTGTCTATGCAGGTCCAGGTTTTCGTATAGGCCCCATACATAAGTACCTCCCTATATTCGGTATTTTGACGAGTTTAGTTACAATACCCACCGAAATTGTTTGAAATGTCGTATTTGACGTTCGTAATGGATGCTATAGCCTGTTACAGAAAATTGTCTATACTGGTCCAGGTCTTCGCACAGCTCCGATATAACGATACCTTCCTATATACGATATTTTGATCATTTTAGCTACATTATTCACCGTTTAATTCAAGTTTCGAATTTGAGTATGGTAATGGCTTATGACAAACAATGCCTATGTAGGTCCAC